CGCTACTGCAACCAGCCCTACTATTCGTATTTGCTAGCAGCTATACCCGTGCCTTGCAACGGGGTCAGTATGCAAAGAGACAATGTTGGTTCTTTGAAAATGCCAAATGGTTTCACTCGTACCATTTAATTTAGAAACAAAATTTAACTGTATTACTTAACTTGATAATAGTAAGTTTTTGTTAACTCATACTGTAAATACTTATTTAGGTTACCTACGATACAAAACCAATGATAGATTTTAAGGTATAATAAAAGAATGTGTTTATTGGTTTGCACTGTAAACGAAAAGCTATCACAATAGTTCCAACCCTGTCAACAAGGTAACATTCTAACAAATTTTCGTGAAATTATAATCAGACAAATGGAAATTCACTCATTCTTTAGGTTTGCTGTGGCAGGGGAATTATATTACTGTTTACACAAATATATTTAAAAAAATAAACCTCATAAAACTCAGAATAAGGGCCTAGGTTGATACGGCAATGATTATAGAATCTTAATTATTTCCTATATCCATTAATGATTTCTTTTATAATGAATTATTCCCTGTAAAATAGTATTACAGCATTTCACAAATATTAGAACAGACTCAGTATAACAGATCATAAACATTAATAAATGAAGTAACTGAAAGAATCCTATACTAATGAAATTACATCAACATATGGTTTGACAGCTCCATTTAAGTAATGTTAAATAATGTTTACATTCGGGCTAGTGACATCATTATTTTAAATTTATAATCCTTACCCTCTCTGTTCTAATATTTGTGCAGTATTTAATATGTTTGAACCAGCTGTGTGGAATTGTGAAATCAAAATTCATTTGACAGTTATTTGCTTGTCGAGATTTTTAATTTTTGATGTTTGTTCTTTGTTACCATGCATACACTCAATCAATAATTACTTTTAAATCTCTCAAGTCAAATTTTTGAAAGCCCACGGGGCAGAGCCCTAGGTCAATATCGAAGCAGGAATAGTTCTATATGTATCCTCGGAGCTGTAGCTTCATTTGTGTGCAATTTTAGCCCAATCGGTTCAGTAGTTTTTGAGTTTATCTCATACAAACACACAGACACCATGATAATCTTTATACTTTATAATAGTAGACTCTTCTTTATAATAGTATAGATTTTATTTTTTGTTCTGTAACTTAATTTGATTGAAGTGTGTTTGAATGTTTTCCTTATTGCTTTGTTTAAATTTTTGTTGTATTAAAGCACATGAATTTCTCTTCTTCTTTGTGTGTTTAAATTTTGCTTTTATATCCATTTTTTCAGCTAGATATTTTATATTTATAAAATTTATATTTTGTGGTAATTTAAAATTAGATTTTCTAATTATTAAATTACCAGTTCACAGATACAAACTTTTCTTAAATACGCATAATTTACGGATAATAAATTAAATAAGATGTCTTCTCTACAGATATTAAATTAAATAAGATGTCTTCTCTACGGATATTAAATTAAATAAGATGTCTTCTCATATACATCTTGCAATTCTCAACTTTATTACTTCATTTGATGTTTTCTAAAATATAGCTGACTAACCTAAAATACAATATTGATATGTTATCAATATTGATACAATATTGATATGTTGCTAAAAGAAAGTAGCCTTGAATTTTTTTCATAGAATTAGTTTTTTTTTAGTTATTTAAGTTATAAAAATTCAAACGGCCGCCATTTTGAAATTTACAATCGGAACAACTTCATTTTTTTTCATAATAGGTCTTGTGTATGTTAACATTATAGCGATGTTTAATCTGTATGAATTAATTTCACCACTATATGAACGAATATTTGATAAGTTTTATTTACAAACAAATGATGAAGTGTGTTGTATCATAACATAGTCAAAACTAAATGTTTAACAAAACTAGCAACAGCTGTTACATAATAAATATTAAATAAGTATAGACCAAAGGCATCACAGATGTGGCTAAGTTGACGCCACATCAGCCCCCCGCAGAGACTGGAAGTCCAGGAAGCTTGAGCTTTTCAGGGGCCAGTCGTCGTGGTCGGCAGAATACAGGAGGTCCTGGAGTCGTGTGTATGTGATGTACTGTCTGGTGCTTCACTTCTCGAGGCAATCCTGGAGGGCGAGTAATTTCAGGAAATTCATGTAAGATTTTAGAGAGGGGAGAAGTAGTGACTACGGATTTTACGCTACTTTGAGTTGTAACGGAAAGTTGTCCTCCTGTAATAAGTCCAGTCTTGGCATCGTGAAGTCGCAACAAACGACAGTCAGGAAGCAAATGGTAGTAACTGAGGAAGTCCGAGCCAATGATTGGAACACTGACATCTGCAACTGTGAACTGCCATGCAAAACTACGGCGAAGGCCTAGGTCCAATGTCATAGAACAGGTTCTGTAAGTCTTGATAGTACTACCGTTGGCAGCACTTAGTTCAAAGTCTGTAGATGTGCGACGGTCTTGTAGAAGACGTTTTGGATAACATGATACGTCAGAGCCGGTGTCGATCAAGAACCGGAGATTCGACTTTTGATCCGAAACAAAAATTCTGCGGCTGGGTGCTTGACAGTCAGCCGCCGCTGTTACTGGCCGTCCTTGGAGTTTCCCGCATAAGAGCAAGGTGAAGTACATTTTGAAGCGTGCTCACCAAATTTGGCATGATACCAGCAAATTTGGCTTGTAGATTTGTGCTGATCTTGATTCGGGTTCTTTGATGTTTTCTTGTCATGATTGGTCAAACGATCGTGCCGGAGGGATACTTCGAGTGCGTCAAGCCTTTGCGTCCGTCTCGTAATAGCAGCAGTGAGGTCGTCATTAGACTGAGTGTGTTCACGAGTTGTCGTAGCATTTACTAATACTTGTGGCGTTCTTGTAGAAACTTCAATGACTTTGTCGGCTATATCTGCAAGTTTATCAAGCGGAAGTTCATTTTGAGCTGTGATAATCGCTTGAATGTTAATAGGGAGACGACGAAGCCAGAGTGCTCGAAGGATGTTGTCCTGTAGTTGGGCTGGACCGATCAGAGTACGTAGGTGGCGTAAGAACTGCGATGGCTTGCGATCTCCGATATCTTCGTCGCTGATCAACTGGCGAACGCATTCTTCTTCACTAGTAGACAGTCTTTCTATAAGCTTCGAACGAAGTACTGCGTAGCGATTCGTTGCAGGCGGATTTGTGATGATGTTCTCTACTTCCACAGCGTAACGTGTTTCAAGCTGAGAAACGACGTAGTGGAACTGAGTGTCATCACTTGTGATGCCTGAGATGGCGAACTGGGAATCTACCTGAGCAAACCATAGACTAGGTTGATCGGCCCAGAATGGTGGAAGCATTACTGCAACTCGATTCACTGATACATTACCAGGGTCGTTGGGTTGCTGAACGTTGGTGGATAGTTCATCTTGTTGCTCTCGTTGATTCGCCAATTGAGCATCGATTTCTTCTAGCGACATTGGTAATATTGATGAAGGAATGTCGTGCTTTTTGTTGTCGTTGTTCGGGGTCACCAATATATAGCGATGTTTAATCTGTATGAATTAATTTCACCACTATATGAACAAATATTTGATAAGTTTTATTTACAAACAAATGATGAAGTGTGTTGTATCATAACATAGTCAAAACTAAATGTTTAACAAAACTAGCAACAGCTGTTACATAATAAATATTAAATAAGTATAGACCAAAGGCATCACAGATGTGGCTAAGTTGACGCCACAACATGGTTACAAAATTTCATAATCATCGAATGAAAAACTTCACAGATAAAAATATTTTTGTATAAAAAACAAAATGGTGGATAACTGGGTAAATATGCATTTTCGGACATACCTTCACATAAACTTTTTTCTTCATTTTGATATGAGGATTCATTTCCCAAAGTCCTGAAACGTTTTTTATAGACACCCTGTATATAGACTTTAATTTTCACAAATAAATTCCAAAATTCCCGAGTCAAACCATACTTTTTTGCCTCCAAACTCTTATTGATTTAAAAACGGCCTAAAAATGTGTCACTTGACACTTACATTTTGAAAATTTTTTCCCAGACCCCCCCCTTCCCAAAATCTTTTCCTGTGTACAGCCTTGCTGTATTATTTGCTAATACACTATGGATGGCTAGTTATAAACACATGTTACAAATCTTTTGTTTACTTTTCCCTTGTTATTTTGTTCAATCAACTAGTTACTTAAGGCCAATGTAAGTCCCTAAATCCGAAATTTAGTCAAAATCCTTCCGCTAGATTTCGAGATACATATTACAGACAGACAAACAGACATAGCTCGTATTAGAGTATAGGATAAGATCAGCTTATAATGGAGAGTATACAGGATACTACAATCTCACACACTTATTTTGAACTCATTTTGTAAGATACTCTTAATAATAAATATACAAGGTCATTTTGTGATATATAACAGAAACTATGAACTCTTCACTATATCGTAAAACTAGATTCTCGAACACTTCGACGTCATTTAGACCAACTCCGAAAGACCAAAGTAAAGAAGGTCCGTTTTTATGAATGTGAAGAAGTAGGCCTACGTAATCAAGTTCCCATCATTCTATGACAACAAGTTCCTATGCAAGTTCCCATACATCCGCGAAATCAAACTCCAATGCGAGTTCCGGTACTTTCGCGATAACAAGTTCCAAAATTAGTCAGACCACCAGCTAAAGAGAACATAAAACCACCACCACAGCCACGAATACGAACCCACACTCATAAACCTTCAGTTTACCTTAAATACTATGTTACAAAATAATTTCTTAATAAGTGGTGGAGATTGTAGTATCCTTATCCTCTCTATTATCAGCTATTGTTATTAATTAATGAAACAATGTAGTTCAATGTCTACCCTTTCTATTTACAGTTTCGAAATGTGTATTTAATAAAAGAGTTTATTCAAATGCATGCAATTATTAACTTTAGTTCTAAGACACATTAGCGCATAATCTATAACGCTCTCCAGAGCGCATAGTTTAAATTTGATGATTTGAAACAGGTTAAAAAAGAAAACTAGTTGTATGAATTTTTTATTATTATTTGAGGCTCAGGAACACAATCAGTATTAAGCTGCATCTGAAACACACAATATCCAAAAATTTCAGTTTTATGTCTTTACCATACCATTATATTACAAAAGTTGCCTACTAATGGGGTGTGCGAGTACTCGAGTATTTTCGAGAGAGTACTTCATTACTCAGCTTGATACTGTAACAATTTAGTATATTTCCACTGATATTTATCCATAAAGTCATTCAAGTTTCAACAAATGTTTCTTTTAAATCTGTATGTAAATGTAAATATCCGTTCTCCCTTTTCCAAACTATGTGTAATAATTGTCCAAGTAGACCAATAGGTAATTAATCCTTATATATAATACGTGAAGGCGATTTCTACGAAACACTACTCCTCCGTTAATAATGGACGGATTTTTACAAACGACGTGTCAAAATAAAGTATTTTTGTGTAAAATTTCCTTTCACAAATTTCTGTTATAAAATCCTCGGGCTTTGCCCCACAGACCATCAAAGTTGGAGTTTCTCCCATAAGATTAACATGGGGGAATCTAAATTTTTAATTGGAAACTTTGTCCCCGATAATTTGAGAGAACGGCTGGGCGTAGAAACTTGGTAGAGGTGTCCAAAGAAAGGTCTTGGTCTGTAGATGAGTTATCAAAAGAAAAACTAAGCAACATCCATTAGGACTCTGCCCCAGAAGCCTTTAAAGATCCCTCTACAGAGTTGTTTACATTTTGGCCAAGTGAATAATACTTTTTCACCACACTATGATGTTTTTGGCTGTATTACGTACGTTAATTGGTGGCTGAAAGTTACGTTTTGCTGGCCATGCCAGCTGTCCTCGCAATTTGGGGACCGAGCAGGTTTTTACAGCCCGGGGCCGCAAAATCAGCTGTCCGCTCACTTAAAACATGAATGCATTTTAAATACACAATCAAAATCCATATTTATAATGGTTTAAATACCTGCATTCAGTAATCCAATATGCTGCTTGTGGCAACTATAGTTTCGGTTCACAGGGAACCATCTTCAGGCCGTACAAGGCGTCGTTATTCACTTCCATATATGAAGGTCGTCATTTAATAAATAAGTACATAGAACACGAACACACGAAAACGCACATTGACACGAACATTTAACATTAAAAATACCGAGTTTAATGTTAAATGTTCGTGTCAATGTGCGTTTTCGTGTGTTCGTGTTCTATGTACTTATTTATTAAATGACGACCTTCATATATGGAAGTGAATAACGACGCCTTGTACGGCCTGAAGATGGTTCCCTGTGAACCGAAACTATAGTTGCCACAAGCAGCATATTGGATTACTGAATGCAGGTATTTAAACCATTATAAATATTCAAACGTAATCCGGAGGCTAACAACTCTTAAAAACAAAATCCATAGCATTGCAATAGAATTGTGTTATTGTCACCGTTGCCTAGCGACTATTTATTTTCATTTTTGCTGATTCCTCAAATTATTTCTTCACATAACCTTAAATTTGTAGTTGTGTTGACTATCAGTGTGCATTATTATAGTGGTGAATAGTGGTAATAGGGTATAGTGTGGTGAAAAATAGCGTTCGTACCACGGACCGAAATGGTTTTGCAGCTCTCGATTGATTTAAGTTCTCGACTTCGTCTCGAACTTAAAAACTATCTCGAGCCGGCAAAACCTCATTTTCGGCCCTAGGTACGAAATATACTATTTAATGAAACAGCTGTTCATTTTTAAATTGCATTTCAAACAACACATATTTATTGGGAGTTACTGAATTCTACCAAATAAGTATTTGCATTGCAATGTTATTTTCTGATTTTAAAATTGATTTTCTTCTTTATCATGTCATGCTTTGCAATATAATGTTCCATTACAAAATCAGTAGAAAATCCTTTTATCACAGCAAATCTTAAATTATTTCTTATTCAGGGTGTCTAGTTTATTTCCATTATCAAATTCAAGACTAATTCCAGACTTTTCAAGACTAATTCCAGATTTTTCAAGACTAGTTTTTTCAACAATAAGTGGGTGTTGATACCAAAATGATTCTCGATTCTTGATACCGATACCAATTTTTATAGCTTAACCAAATTCTCTAAATAATACTACACCAACCCCTGTCTTTGTCATAAAGTAGTACCTATTATAATAATGTGGTGTTTTAAAGTAAAGAAATAATGCAGCAATAAAAAATTCTAACTAGCAAATTTGGTTTTTTTGATCATGAAATCTTCTGCATACCGTACGTTTAGACATCATCGTCGTCTCCCGCGGTCTCAGAAACGTCATCGTCATCGTCTGCGTCGCGGCAAAATCATGAACATTTCCCGCGGCTGTTTCGACATCACCGCCATCTCCCGCGGTCACGGAAACGTCATCGTCATCTCCCGCGGTCACGGAAACTTCACCGTCGTCGTCCGCGATCGCGACAAAATCATGAACATTTCCCGCGGCCGAGCAGATATCATCGTCGTCTCCCGCGGTCCCGGAAACGTTATCGTCATCTCCCGCGGTCACGGAAACGTCATTGTCAACTCCCGCGGTCACGGAAACGTCATTGTCATCTCCCGCGGTCACGGAAACATCATCGTCAACTCCCGCGGTCACGGAAACATCATCGTCAACTCCCGCGGTCTCAGAAACGTCATCGTCATCGTCTGCGTCGCGGCAAAATCATGAACATTTCCCGCGGCTGTTTCGACATCACCGCCATCTCCCGCGGTCACGGAAACATCATCGTCATCTCCCGCGGTCACGGAAACTTCACCGTCGTCGTCCGCGATCGCGACAAAATCATGAGCATTTCCCGCGGCCGAGCAGATATCATCGTCGTCTCCCGCGGTCCCGGAAACGACATAGCCATCGTCCGCGATCGCGGCAAAATCGTGAACATTTCCGGCCGCTGTTTAGACATCACCATCATCTTCCGCGGTCACGGAAACGTTATCGTCGTCGTCCGCGATCACGGCAAAATCATGAACATCTCCCGCGGCCGTGTAGACATCATCGTCTTCCCCCGCGGTCACGGAAACGTCATCGTCATCTCCCGCGGTCACGGAAACGTCATCGTCGTCGTCCGCGATCGCGACAAAATCATGAACATTTCCCGCGGCCGAGCAGATATCATCGTCGTCTCCCACGGTCACGGAAACGTCATCGTCGTTTCCCGTGGTCACGGAAACGACATCGTCGTCGTCTGCGATCGCGGAAAAATCATGAACATTTCCCGCGGCTGTTTAGACATCACCGTCATCTCCCGCGGTCACGGAAACGTCATCGTCGTCGTCTGCGATCGCGACAAAATCATGAACATTTCCCGCGGCCGAGCAGATATCATCGTCGTCTCCCGCGGTCACGGAAACGTCATCGTCGTCGTCCGCGATCACGGCAAAATCATGAACATTTCCCGCGGCCGAGTAGACATCAATGTCGTCTCCCGCGGTCACGGAAAAATCATCGTCATCTCCCGCGGTTTCGGAAACGTCATCGTCTTCGTCCACTATCGCGGCAAAATCGTGAACATTTCTCGAGGCCGTGTAGACATCATCATCATTGGCTTTCGCGGTTACGTAAACGCAAGACGACGATCGCGGCAAAATCATGAAAATTCCCGACTTTGAAATCAAATTTAAGACGTCATCGTCGTCTCCCGCGGTCACGGAAACGTCATCGTCGTCTCCCGCGGTCACGGAAACGTCATCGTCGTCGTCCGCGATCGCGGCAAAATCATGAACATTTCCCGCGGCTGTTTAGATATCACCGTCATCTCCCGCGGTCACGGAAACGTTATCGTCGTCGTCCGCGATCACGGCAAAATCATGAACATTTCCCGCGGCCGTGTAGACATCAATGTCGTCTCCCGCGGTCACGGAAAAATCATCGTCATCTCCCGCGGTTTTGGAAACGTCATCGTCGTCGTCCACTATCGCGGCAAAATCGTGAACATTTCTCGAGGCCGTGTAGACATCATCATCATTGGCTTTCGCGGTTACGTAAACGCAAGACGACGATCGCGGCAAAATCATGAAAATTCCCGACTTTGAAATCAAATTTAAGACTAAATCCCGACTTTTCAAGACCATTTCGAAATTCAATACTAATTCCCGACTTTCCCGATTTTCCCGACTACTAGACACCCTGCTTATTGAATTATCTTATATCTATTATACGGGTCGGTGTCTGCCTTTTTCACCACTTTTGCCTACATTTTATCATATTATTCTACACATATCAAATATTTATGTAGAAATATCTGCTCTTATCGTGTCTAACAAAATCCAAACATAGAAACCTTGCCTAAAATGGTACCCATCTTGACAAATTATTTGCACCTGCCTATATTACGAACTTTGGCGCACTAGGTTGGTAACATTATTGAAAATAACACAACATTTTGGCTGTAAAATATGGTACAAAGAGAAAATATTTGTTAATCAGCTACTGTCATGACAGAAAGGTCTTATTCCTTTTTAACCGACTTCCCCACTACCAACAAAAGGAGGAGGTTCTCAATTTGTTTGTGGCGATGTTTTTTTTTTTCTATGTATGTTCACCAATTTCTCTGTGATTCTTTTACCGATCAGTGTGGTTCCACCACCAAAATAACCAGGAGAGTTTCTATTTGGTACCTTATATATTATGTTTAAGTATAATATTTGTTTCGGTGAAAAATTCTGAAAATCTTAAATATTCAACATTTATTTTGTTTACATTTGTGCAGATTGTTTACATTTTTGCAGAGAAGGCAATAAATAATAATAACATTCCTACAGCTGTTAGTTGAAACCATTTAAATGAAGCTACAGATAATTCTTCTCATATTGATCAATAAACTATTTCTTGCCATGGAGCCTAAATGAATTACATTGAGAAAAGTGAATTTTGTTTTAGTTACTATAAAAAATGTATTTTAACGTTTGACCTGATTTGTGTATACAGTAATTCTGTTTTTAGTATTGAATATTCTGACTTACAAAAACATATATGTTTCAGTGAATAGCTGTATGATATTGACAAATAAGGTGTATTGTGAAAACCAAAGCATTCGTAAAACATGT